CGTTGGAGGCTGTGGCGTGCAGAATTTGTCGAGCTCTCATTTTGCCTGCTACGAGTGGATCTGAACTGGACGTGGGAAGGCGATCAGAGACCCGCGTCGGAGATTGTGGAGTTGCTCGTCATTCAGGTGTGGAGGACCAATGTGGCGGGAGATCGTCTGGGGTTCGTCTTTGGAGCAGTGGATCGGGGAAACTGATCACAGATCGTGCGCGAACTTACGATCGTGATCGCGCGATTGGTCGACGAACTCCCTCTCGACATCATCTCTCAGAGCGACGAAGAACCCGTGCCACATACCCTCTCAAGGACTCTCGCCCCGAGCCTCCAGTGGTCGGCTTGTATCGAGGAGCGCTGGGCGGACGACCGTTTTCCCTCCCGTAGCGAGTACCTGAACGTCCACAGCCTGACTAATCCCCGCTTCTTTCGGCAACCAACGACGTTCGAGTGGGCGGCGCTGAGAGCAGAAGAGGAGGCCGAAGAGGAATCGGAAGGAGAACTGAGGAGGGAGGTCGGGGAAGCAGCGGCCCGATTGGCCAAGGACGAAGAAGAAGAGCGCGAAGCAGAAGAAGAGTCGGCGGAAGAAGAAGAAGAAGAAGAAGCAGAGGAGGAGACTTCGGAGGAAGAGGAAGAGGCCTATAGCGAGTACAGCGAGGGCGAGCAAAGTGAGGAGGAGGACGAAGACGACGAAGAAGTGGAAAGCGGGAGCGACCAGGAGCCAACCCACGACGAGCTCGAGTGGGTGCCAGGACCGGATCGACGAGAGGGGAACCCGGAGGCTGCTGCGCAGCGCAAGAAAGAGATTGCGGAAGGAAAGCGGCTGGCGATCGATCCAGCACCGAACGATCCTTTCAAGGATCCCGAGCCGCCCAAGCCGGAACATGGAGACCTTGCTGCCACGACCTCGGGAGCCGTGACGACAAGGCGCCGATCCCGATCCCGATCCTGATCCCCGTCCCCCTCCGCCTCCGCCCGTCCCCCAATTCGTCAACGTGTCAATGAAGGGCTTAGCCCTTCGTCCCCGATCCATATACCACCATCCCCTTAGCTATCTCTCTTTCAATCAGTATTTCCATCGCGTCGTCTACCCCTGCAATCCCTTCCCCATCGCCACCTTCCGACATTTCTACTCCGCCCGCCTAGAACTGACTTTCCACCCCCACCCTTCCGTTCGGTGTGCTGTCCCCGACTACTCCCTCCACGTTATGCTCCTTAGTGCCGCGTGGCGAGACCGTAACCATATAGAGGTTTACTGCATCGTTACGGGGACCTTCCCCACGTGCGAGAACCATGATCGATTCCGCACAGACGTCCTCCGAACCCTCGTATCCCTTTACCCAGACTACCTCGCTTCCCTTCCCCGCAGCAGCCAGAGATTCCCCCGCTTCCATCACATTGTCCGTTTTCAAGAACTTCCCTACGACCTCACTGCGATCGGGCGCTTCATACCCGAGCTTAAGATGGAGCCGCCCCGCCCTCCCTCATACGCGTACCGCCTTCCCTTCCCCCTTCCGGTTAATTACTGATGCAGCAGTAATGGACGCATGTCGCGGCGACGACACAAGAAAGATCCCGTCCTTGGATCGTCGAAGAGCCCAATCTGAGGAACTAGTAGAAGAGCAGAATTGCCACGATGGATGATGTCCACATGCAATCGAACGGTAAGTGGCATACAGAGAATTGCTCCACGTATCGATCAATTAGAGAAATCGACACGTGTCAACAAGCAATCAGGAGCTTGCTAATATTGGAACCCCCTGGGCGTCACATATGTGACGAACCACTTTCTGTAACGCGCGATTTTCTGCGCGGTTGCAGCGAGGGGTCCTAAGCTGGGAAGATTGGGCCAATTATGGGAGATCGGGATCGGTGGAGAATTGCATCAATGTCCTCGCTTTTTCGTCCTTTTTCGTCGTTTCTTTTTCGAATGGCCAAGCACGGGGTCGGGTGTGTCTTGGGACGGCCGGTGGAGTAATTGGTCGGATGGATGTCTGGCGTGCCACCACGCGCGCGATTAATAAAGGTTGACGCCGTTTCTTTCGGTTCGATTTCGATCTTTCGGGCGCAGACATCGCGCAGGAAATTGCTTCGTTCTTTTTTTAACATTTCCTTTTTGAATCTTTTTTCAAATTTTGTCGAGCCCCCAATGGCTCTCGGAATTTTGGACTTTCTTTCTGGAATTCGTGCTTCTTTTTGCTTTTTCGCATTAGATAGGAATTTAGTAATTTAGTAATTAGGATTTTTCCTGCCGCGCGGCGCCTTTTGTCTACACGCTTCTTCATGCGGCCGCAACGGTACTCTGATTAGTGGGCGCCCTTAATCGTGTGTGTAACTGTAATTTTGGGCGGGCGCCATTGTAACTGTATCTTTCTTCTTGCACTTCGTCTCTCCCGCCCTCCCTCTCTTTCTTTTGCTGAAATTTTGTAAGTCGCTGCTTGCWTGCTCGGATCGATGCGTGGAGAAGGGTTACGTCCCCCACGCCGCGGCCGATCATGCAGAACGCAGGCGTTCCCTCTCTAATCCTCACTCTAAGTCCTGGTAATTCCGTGTTCTTCGCGCATGCATGCACGCTATAAATTTCGGCTGCGCGATTAGTCAGCTCTCTTRACCCGTTGTTGGAAGCTCGGGGTTGCGCGATCAGGAAGGGTCGRCACACGAGCGAAGTAAGAGGTGAGTAGAGTAGGAGTTGGGCGACCCGACGGGCTGGTGCCGAACGCACGGGATTGGCGTGGGCCACGACGGACTGTGGGCACGGGCGAATCCGACAGGTGCGGGAGGACTAAGCGGGGTGACAACTTCGTGGGTTGGTGCGAGACGACGGACTGTCCGCATTGGAGAGAAAGAGAGAGAGATGAGAAAGTTGAGGTCGATGGATGCGGATTTGCTGTTTTCTTGTCTCTTCCCCCTCTTCATCTGTGTACATACATTTTGATTACGGGTCCGGGCGGTTTGCCCGTTCTTATTTTCGTTTCGGCCTTCTGAAATTTGGGCTTGGGTTTTTGCTCACACTTGTCCTTGCGATGTCCATCCTGCTTGCATTATGTGTATGATTGTCGAATGTATGGATGTATGGACGTTATGACTGCTCGTCTATCTTTTTGCTGAGAATCCCTGTCCTTGCGTTATGTCTGTGTCAAATCTTTGCCTGCACCTGATGTCGCTGTAGATGGGATAAGAATCTGGCCCCGATAGTGATTTTGTTCTCGTTTTTGCTTATCCCGCGATGGGGGTTGCGATATGATTGCATCTTGCATAATCGACGATCCGAAGTCTGGTCCCGCGAACGCCGCGTGAGAACACGTGTAGACGCGATCCGAGTCGCGGCCTTACACACATTCCCGGGCGTCGATTCGCTCACCCAAAAAGGATTCGTGGCGGAACCATCATCCCGTACGAGCACGCTGAGGCGCCACTGAGTCTGCCTGCCCTACACGTGCTCGTGCGTGGTGACGATATCCCGACCTGCGCTATCCCATCGACGATGATACCATGACGCGATCTTGGGGCTCAGACTCATCCTATGACCCGGACTATTTCACCCCTATAATAAACGAGCTCATAAGGACACGATACCCCTGTCACGCGGAGAATCGGCTATGTCCGCGGGAATTCCACTGTGCCACCTCTAGCAACCCTCGGTGCTCCGATTTCCCTTCTCCCGACCACACCTACTACTTCACCCACCCGGGATTCGTTGAGATCACCACCAGTTTCCCTTCTTTCCGCCTCCTTCTCCCGTATCATCAACTCAGTGTCGTTCCGTGGCCGGCCATGGCCCCCTATTGGCCCAATACGTTTTGCGTGAACTGCCGACGTAGCGGCGCACAGAGAACTCCGGAATTCCGAAGGCCCAACCCAGGTACGCGGCAGCCTGCGCCACGTGGCGGCCCCCGACGGCCTAACTTTTCGGGACCATCTCCACCACGGAGGAACTTTCCCGTAACCCGTCGCCCACAGTGTCCCGGCCCCTTCGGACTGTGAGACCCTTGCGCGCGCACCCCTCGTTCGCCTAATTGCATTCATACCCTTAAGACTCCCCCACTTCCCCCAAAAATCCTTGGCACACCCCTTTTCGCACTTCCAGGCCCACACTCCACTTCGATCAGGAAGTCGCGCTGGGCGTGAGGTTGGGCGTCACATAGGACAGCACTGTGTGAGACCCGCTTCTCACTTTAAGACGTTATAGCAGGGTTGGTCCCCGGATGGCCCGGTGGGCCCTCCCCCGACCAGGAGCCTCCCGGTTGGACTGGCCCCGGTAGGCTCCCTGCCCACCCCAGCACATTTTGCCCTCGAGTCGGAAGGGGGGTACCGGCCATTTTTGTGGCTGGGCGGGCCCTCGCAGCCTCATGGAGGCCGCCGCCACATTTTGTTCGAAACGATGCGGGCTGATCTCATCGACCGTCTTGTTTGAAACAAAATGATGAGGGGAGAGAGAGAGAGAGAGAGAGAGAGAGAGAGAGAGAGAGAGAGAGAGAGAGAGAGAGAGAGAGAGAGAGAGACGACCACAGGCAAGTCAAACTGTTTAAGAAATGCGGAAACGGTTTTTCTGAAATTCTCTCTCCTTTTCCGGTTGTCTACTTCTTCGTCTTCTTCTTCTTCTTCTTCTTCTTATGTTCCTTTCTTCTTCTTCTTCTTCTTCTTCTTCTTCTTCTTTAGGCTTTCGTTCGTTACATTCTTCTGGCTCGCAGTGTTGTCTGACTTGTCTTCCGTTTGCTATGCATGCTGCTGTTTGTGGGCCTGCACACCCAAGTCGCAACACCCCCTCAACCCCCCTCCCAGGATACCTCGCCCAAAAAATCTGACCTTGGAAGTTTTATTCCAGAATCCAACAGATCTCAGCGACCGCAGTCGGCTCCTGCACTCACTAAAATTTAATAAAATAAAATCAGGCATTGTTTTCGGGTCAACCGGTTTTCCGCTTGAACCCCCCTGGACCGGCCCGGCCCCCGTTGGAACTGGTCAGTTTCCAGCCCAGACCTGTGTTATAGATAAAACAGAGGGCATTCATCTGATGGCATGCATTTCGAACTCATGACCTGTTTGGAAAGTTACACGTGCACTGTTCACCCACATCGCCCAGGTGTGCGTTCATTTTTTTTTCAATTTTTTTTTTGGGGGGGGGGGAACAAATGCTCCAGTCTATTCGTGGGGAGCAACACATGCTGGGAACCGGACCCAGCATCCCATATAGAATTATACAAATGATTTGAAATACCAGGGCCATTACCTGGTTTCGGCTAAGAACAATCTGAGAACTATGAAACAAATTTAGGAAAACGAGAGCGGGGGGTCGAAACTGAAACTGCCTACTACCCAAAGCTCCCCCCCTCAACAGACGGAAAGTCGGTCCATATTCAAACTACCCTTCCCCCTAATTCGAGTATAACTCGCCCCAAAAAAAAGAAACCGCAAAATAACGAGGTGCGCTGCCTCCTCGGCTCCCTTCATTCGAGTTCAACTCAGCCGTGAAGAACAACCAAGAAAAAAGCACACACGCATGGCCAACGCCCAAAAGGACAACATTCAAACCACACGGCCCTGGTCCCAAGTGGGAAATTGGTCTCGCTGGACGGCATTGCATGAGATCTGCTTCTTGTGTTAACAAGTTACAGATACAGAAAAACACAACCTTATGGGCACAAATCTATTTCTATTCTGAGGAGCAGGAGTCCAGTT